GGAGGAGAAGGGATTGTGGCGTGGCCATCCCCCCATAGGGGGTGATTTCTCACTCTCTGTCGCTGCCCCCCTCTGGCTCTCTGGCGAGCACACGCACCCTATGGCAAAAACCTCTCCCCCCCAAAAAAAAAACATACATTGCTAGATTTACAGATTAGAAACAAGGTAAGTTTAGGTCAAGAAATAACACTGTTTTCAGAAGTTTGAAAGGAGTATTAAGATTTTATGCAAGATGGGAACCAGCAGTTAGCGTAATGGCTATGTCGCTGGACTCCCACGTAGTCGACCGTGGCTCGTGTCCTGGACCCGGTGGTTTAAAACTCATGCCGGGCGCATGTGCGTATGTGCCCAAGATCCCAAGAGGAGAATGGAGGAGAAGGGATTGCAGCGTGACCATCCCCCTGGGGGGTGATTTCTCGCTTTCTGTCTCTATGTCTCTGTCTGTCTGGCGAGCACACGCGCCCTATAGGGAAAATCTCTCCAAAAAAAAAAAGATTTTATGCAAGAGTCAGCATGGTGGTTAAGGCACTGGACATTCCCACATGGTCGACCATGGTTCGAGTCTCAGGTCTGGTAGCTTGCTTTCTCACTTTCCTTCTCTCTTTGTGTCTTTCTCTGATCAAATGAAAATGGTTGAATGAATAAATAAAATTAAATAAATAATTTTTTTTTAAAGATGTTATGCCAAGAACACTGGGAAACTGGCCGGGAGATAAAAGTTTGTACAAAAGTCTATTTCTCATTGCTCATGTGGCATTTTCTGGACTTATCTATCAGACTCTGCAGGCCTATGGGGAACTCTAATAACTACTTATTTTGCTACAGATTTTCCATTTTGAAAACAAACTGCTGCTGCAGCTACAACCAAAGTATTTTAAGTGATCTCAAAAGTCAACCAAGTACTTCTTACACTTCAGAACCCTCTCAGGCCTGACTCCTGTCCAGTCCCGCAGCGGGAGTCCCCTCCAGGCCATCAGCAGTAGTGGGGCCAAGAACTCAAATGTTTCCTGAGTGGGAGAACACACCAGAAACCCTCCTGCTAGGCTTGAACATTTAAGGTATACAAGAGGTTTTTGCTACTGAGTCCCAGCCGCATTCAATCTACAAGCACTGATAAGAAAGGATTAACCCCTGAGAAACAGAGCAGCACAGGGAGAAAAGGCCCTCCTTTGCGCCTGAGCAAACAACTGTGCTTTATTAACCGTGTATTCCATCTGCTTATTTACCGAGGTTTTCTTTAAAGACCTTATCACCTCCTCCCCCATCCTTAGATACACAGCTCTTCTTTCCAGAGCCTGGGGCACACTCCCTGCTAAGGTGAAAGCCCGGAGGACTTGGGGCGTGGGCTCACAGGGCCCGCCAGCCCCCCAAAGGGAGGGCAGAGTGGCCAGGCACAGGTTTGCTGTCCGGAGACGTCTGCCAAACACTCCTTTCAGAAATCTTCCCGAATTGGTTCTGGCAAACCAACTACTCCCCCACTCCTTTGAACCTCCAGACCCCGAACGTCGCCCGATTAGCAAAAAACAGAACGCGTCACACACACACACACCCCCCCCCC